ATATAGTATCTATTTTACTCTACCGAGTCACGCTATAGTAGGCCGGGTTCGACACCTATTGTGCAACCACTGATCAGTTGGGTTTACCGAGCTCCATGTGACCAGGTACGATTCTACCGAGCCTTATGATGGTCGGGTACGTTTTTACCGAGTCCTCTTTAAGGCCGGGTACGATATGATGATGATGATGATGCCTACAAAGGCATATGTTTTTAAGAGTTTATGTATATATATGTATTATGCATTTCATATCAGTAGCACCCAGAGGCACGCAGATGTTACAAGTTATATCTCATCTATCTCTCTTTATATTATTGTTCTTGTTTATGCTTTTCTGCCTTACATACCCGATACTTTATTTGTACTGACGTCTCTTTTGCCTTGGGACGCTGCGTTTCATGCCCGCAGGTCCCAATTGATAAGTTGATATTCCTCCAAGTAGGCTATCAGCTCAGCGGGGGTGTTGGTGCACTCCACTTGCTCCGGAGTTGCATATTTGGTCAGTATTCTTTGGATATATATTGATTAGTATGGCGGGGCCCTGTTATGGCCTTTATGATTTTATGTACTCTTAGAGGCTTGTAGACAGATGTCAGGTTTATGGATACGTGTATGGCCTTGTTAGCCTATGTGTTAAGTTTACAAATGGTCATGTCGGCCTTATAGGCCCGTATGTCACATGTATAAGTTTGTATATCATGTTGGGTCGTCATATGTTGAGTATTCCCTTATGTTTTATTCTTGTGATCTCATGACGGATTTCTGGCTCATTTACTCAAGATAGTATAATAAGAAAGATATGTTATGTTGGTACTCAGTTGAGTAAGGCACCGGGTGCCCGTCGCGGCCCTTCGGTTTGGGTCGTGACACTTTGGTAGTACTTTTTAATTTCTGATATATTTTCCCTTTACTTTACTCTTTCTGGGCTGTAATAATTTGTAATAAAACTCTCGGGGATGGATAGTGAAAAGGAAGGGGTAACTATGTATGCAAAAGAGGTAGATAACCTGCCTATAGGAGTTTATGAATTCTGCATTCTCATATAGATACCATGTCTATAAAAATTTCTCCATTCTCATATAGATACCATGTCTATAAAAATTTCTCCATTCTCATATAGATACCATGTCTATAAGAATTTATGCATTTTCATATATAAATACCATGTCTATAAAAATTTCTGCATTCTCATATAGATACCATGTCTATAAGAATTTCTGCATTTTCTTGTATAGATACCATGTCTATAAGAATTTCTGCATTTTCTTGTATAGATACCATGTCTATAGGAATCTCACATTCAGCATCTAGATACCATGTCTATAGGTTATTTCTGAATTTTTGCATATCATGTAGATATCCTGCCTATAGGAATTTCTGAATTTCTGCATATCATATAGATTACCTGCCTGTAAGAGTTTATGAATTCCTACATTCTCATATAGGTACCATGCCTATAGGTTATTTCTGAATATCTGCATATCATGTAGATATCCTGCCTATAGGTTCTTTCTAAATCTTGCATATGCATTCCTCATCAGGCAAACATGTTTGTAGGTCTTAAATAATCAACTGCAATTAAATATTATGTTCAAAAGCTTTAAACGAAATTCAGCATCTAGATGTCATGCCTGTAGGATTTCTGCATTTTTACTACGTTTATAAAAGTGTCCAAAATCGGCAACACATAGAAAGCATGCCTATAGGAGCTTTGATCGAATCTGAATCGTTTCACTCGCTTATAAGTCTAAAATTAGAAACAATGACACATGCTCTTTTGCTAAAACTCGTCTTTCTTTAATAACATACGATTTTCTTAAATCAGTATGTATTCACGTTTGTTTCATTGTTTCTGGAATCAGTAGCTATCATGCCTATAGGGTCTTCGTCTAACACTTAGGCAAGCCATAGGGTGAAAGTTTATAAACTGAATCAAATTTTATATGCTACAACCAGCAGGCAGGCCTGACTCAGACTTCTTATCTAAACTATGTAATAAAACAGTCTGCCTCGATCCTTTAAGTTTAATCAGACCCTAAATAGTACGTGTAAGTCATGCTAACTACTTGCTTTTCTCTGCTTAAAGGAGGTCTGTTTGAGCCTTTTCATTTGTTTATATGCTTCCCCATACTTGCCATATATGTTTTGTTTGTCGCCTTAGTATTTTTACCTTTTGAAACCACAAATAAGCCCAATATCCCTCCCCTTTAGGATTAGTAGTCCCAAATGCCTCCGGGACTGATAGGATTGGAGCGGGTAATAGCATGCAATAAGTAAACGAGACCATTCCGCGCTTTAATACCTCAACGGGATGGGAAAGGGTAGATATGGATATGATGACGATGCGATAACATTTCGTGTAGCCCCTCATTGAAGAGTGATTATCGGGTGCTGTGTGGGGTGATCCATATTACTAATAAACCTAGGATCCCCCCCTCCCTTTGTTTTCTTCGTTTCTTTTAAATCTTTTTAAACTATTTCTTTTAAGAAAATCAACTCTTTTTAGTTCCTTTTTCTTACTTTTGTTTATTTGTAACCATTACGTGAAAAATCCTCTATTGTTTGGAGCCTTTATTTGCCTATGTGTTATTTGTACCTAAAGTCACATCAATAGTTTGGCCGGGAACCATACTAGTTGATTTTGAGGGGTGCCTAACATCTTCCCCTTGAGATAATTTCAAGCCCTTACCCAATCTCTGGTTGTTCAAATCAAACCTTCCTTAGTGTCCTAATGCACTTAAATCATTAGGTGGCAACTCTTCAATTCAAACCCAATTCCCGAAAGGGAACGAGTTGTCCTCCCAAATATCATGAACCCGATTTTCGCGAGAAAAAAAGGCGGCGCGACAGTATAAAGGATGTACTAACTTAATCATAGTTTAGCATATGTAACTAAAGTTAGTTGTTGGTTAGAGTTGGGTTATAGTTAGTCGGTTAGAGGAGTATAAAATGAATACAACACTCATTTGTATTAGTTAGTAGTTATAATGAAAAGCTTCGGCAAATCTCCATTTCTCTCTTCCTTCTCTTACGATCTCATCTCTCTCTGCATGTCTATTTGCTGCATTTGATAAGTTATTAATTGACTTAGAAAACAGAAGTGGTTGTTGGGGGTGCGACGACGTCAGTCCCAGGGTACGTAGGGAGTTGGAGCACGAGAACTGTAGGGGGATGTGGTCCGACTACTTTATGGGCTCAATTGAATTTGATAACGGGAAATCTGCCACCAGCCACCAGTAGCGGCTCAACATAATATGGGGTCTAAGACGAAAATAAAAAGTGAGGCCTTAAATTAATTATTTTTTACTCTTATAATTTATTGAATTCTAAATAAGATATAATTAATTTTAATTATTGTAAATATCTAACCAATTTGTTTAATCTCTCTTGTGCTATCATGTTGAACTTTATTGATTTAATTTTAAAAAATAATCAACCAAGACAACTGATATAAAAATTATTAACGGTAATTGAATTAATACTTTTTACTTGATTAAGTTTGCCAATTAGAGTATTCTTCTACTTATATAATTTCTATTAACACTTTTAATTCTAAATATAAGTTGAAACAAATAATACGATAATAACTACTACGTTTCAAGAGTCATTCAATGTTAAAGACAAATTTTAATAGTTACTTATCAAATTAGTTTGAAAAATATCTACAAAGGCACTCAAAGAATTAAGAAAAATTATTCTAAACTAACATTGTAAAAGATCGATTTAAGTTGGGACAAATTAAAGACAAGAAACAACTAGTAACTACAATTTAAAATGTGTAAAATTTTTAGCTATAATTATATTAACCAAATGATTTGAAAATTCTATCAATAGTGCATATTATTAAATATTATACATAATATTTATAAATTTTAGGGCCGTAAGTATTTTGGGGGCCAAAGGTGATTGCTTTAGTGACCTTAGGCTCCAGTCGGCTCTGCCAGCCACCGGCGCGTAGTTGTGACAGGTCAAGGGAAGCAGGTAGCGGAGGCAGAGGTGGCAGGTCAAGGTGGTTGTGGAGGTGATGAGGGAGGTAAGAGAAGGGAAGGTGTGGTGGGTTCGGTCGGAAGAACCCATGTTCATTTTTACTGATGTGGCTTTTTTTCACTGGTTACATTGCCATGTAAGACGCGCTTGAGTTTCACGCGGTCATGTTTTACGGGGACTGAATATTTTGTGTTCAATAGACGCATTTGGTATAAAGTTGTAGTGTTCAATATGCATAAGTTGTTGGAGTGCCGAAAAGAAAAATGAAGCCTAAGTTTGAGATGTATTTGGCCAATAAATACAAAACGAGTTACTAGAAGGCAAGAATATTAATGACCCTATAAGAATATAGTAAAAGAATGTAAGTATTTGGCCATTTGTCTAGAAAAAGTAATCACTCCATATGTCATTACAAGTCAAGTCAACCCCCCACCCCCCAAACCCCCTCTTTTTCTGATGAATCTGGAAAAACCGCAGATTCTTCCTCTGAGCTTAAGTCTCACTCACTTGGTCACACATTCAATGAGGGTCTCAATAACTTGATCAGATTTGAACTAAAATAAATCATATACATAAATTCATTTAGGGTCTCTGTAACTTTTGTTTGTTGTATCAATCGGAAACAATATCAGTCTCTCTACATTAAGATCTGCGCTTAAACTATCTTTCCAGACCTCGCTCAGGTTTGTTGTTGGTCTCTATAACTTGGAAAAGTCAAATATCTCATTGGGAATCATGCATGATCGTGTCATTAATTGGTCCATAAAATAATGAAGGAACAGTGGAGACCTATCTTAATTTTGGTAGTTGTTTACTCTTTCCGGTGTACTAGTTTCCTTTTAGCACGTCCATTAAGAATATTTAAATCCCATACAAAAATATTTAGTATCCTTATTAAATATTGGTCACATACTTATACTTATGGTGAGGAGTAAGAAAACTTTTTAGGGATGCACATAAGGGTAAAAGAGTAAAAACAAATTGATTTTTTTTATTATATAACTGGACAAATGATGGTACTGTTAAATGAAGGTACTGTTACTCCAAATTCTGTTATGGAATTCATTGATACCGTGATAGAGAATCTCATTGATCCACTGAAACTTGATGATCCAAGTTCACTCCTTCATGTCGAGGGACTCGTGGATCAAGTTGAAAAGGTTTTGAAGGAGTTGAAGTTCCTTTTTAGTTTTGTCAACTTTGTTTCAGACAGATGCGTAGAGCCTGAGGTCCAGCATACTTTCTTCACTCATGTTTTAGAAGTGGCCTGGCACACAATAATGGTTACCTGGTTGTATCTTCCAAGCCATGCCGGCGGATCTCCAGATCCAGACTCTGCTCCAGCTGAAGGGTATCCTTTGTTTTCTGATCTACTACGAAGCAAAATTCAGCCTATTGAGCCAAGCATCTCCAAGATCTATATCGATGTCCTGAAAGCTATAAAGTTACATCAGTCACAATGGTATCCCGTTATCCAAATTAAGTATGTGGTAGATTGTGAAGTTGGATTTGTGGAGACTCTCCTACACAATTTGGAAGAGTTACCATTCATTTTAAGTGGACTAGAGATAAAGAAGATGCTCAACTTTTTGAGAGCCCATCTACTAATACAGGTCTCTGAATGTTATATTCAAGATATAGATTCAGTGATTGTTGATGCAGGAATTCTTGTTTACTCATTAAACAAAAAAGAGAAGGGTGATCTTGATTTCCGAGTCAAAATTCAGAATCTGCAAGCAATGATCTATCTCATCACAAGAAAGACATTTCTCCTTCAGTCCAACTTGTCTGGAATTGACAGAGTGGGCTCTGCTGATTTCATTTTAGACAACATGGAGAAGTTTCTAAGCGTCTATCCAAATTCAGTTGTTTCTGTCAAGAGCCAACTTCAGACAATTCAGAAAGAACTCAAGTGCTTTCAAGCTGTTGTAGAAACACAAGTCGGACTTCAACATTTTGTAACACATACAAATGGTTTGGTGTATGAGGTAGAATATGTATTTGATGCTTGTAAGAAAAAAGATGTTCCTGATTGGTGTCTTTTTCTCTGGATCTTGAACATTGGAGAGGATATTAGAGTGCTCATGGCAGAGGCAGCAGAGGTTCAAGAAAATACTGCATTTGACTTGGTATTGCATAACATCACAGCTGCTGCCCCTACACGTACTTCTTCACAATTTGCCAGCTATCCAAGCACGAATGAAGAGATGGTGGGCTTCAAGGATGTGATAAACGAACTAAGAGCCAAACTAATCAAAGGATCAGTAAATCTTTACCTCGTTTCAATTGTTGGAATGCCTGGATTAGGCAAGACAACTCTGGCAAACGAACTATATTTTTTTTTTTAAGAAAAGAAAAATACAACAATTAGGAAAAGTACAAATAAGGGGGACAATAACACCGGTATTGTTACCCATATGCCTTGGCAATATAATCACTCCTCGACGCCTTACACTGCCTTATGATGACAGCCTCATGTAGAGGATTCATGGTGTAGCTGTCGGCAACGTCTCACGAGGGCATATAATCTCATAGCCGTGTGGATATTTTCCAAAGGCATAGGACCAAAGCAACACAAACCGGGCTAAACCTTACCTTACTAATCCTATTGAGGCAAATAAAAAGTCTCGCTTACTAACAAGCATGTAAAAAGAAAGAACTGGAAAGTACCAAATATTTAATGATCATCACAGAGTTTATAAGATACTCTGTGATGATATTACAAATGAGAATACTAATAAAGTGGAATAATAGAATAAAGTACCAATTTGGTTCCTGTCCCTTCTTTTCGAAACATGTAAAATCTTCAATTTGTAATTCTTGTTGTTTTCCTCAACCATGTTCAAAAAGTATTCAAAAATCATCCTTTCTTTTTTGAACGGTTAGACCTCGTTGAGGTAGTTGGGGCAGATTTCTTTTGTTTGGCAACTCTCATTGGAGGTCGCCTAACATTTAAAAAATCAATGACCTTGTCGTCCCAACTATTTTTCCTTGTATGTGCCTTCTTTATTTTTCCACTATGCATAGGTGATAGGTCCCATTTTCTTGATGCCTCTGCCCGACATTGATTTAAGATATCATCTTCCTTCCCTTCTTCATATATATATATATGCCTACCAGTAGCGGATTTGGCATGTCTTGGTGAACATCTTGTGTCATCAGAGTGTTTCCTTCATGCCTTCTAGCCAAAATTGCATTATGTGATAGTTGTTCTACATTTTTCAATTTGTTCCTGCTCCTACTATCACGACCAGTGCTGCCAGTAACAACATTTAAAGAATTCACAGGTTTTGTACTTACCATTGCATCCAATAACTTGCGTTCCTCTGCTGAAATAACTGGAACTGTTGGGACGATTTGCTGCTGCCCAGCTTCTAATGTTGCTGCTGCTTTTCGATCATCAGCATGATTGGTATCTAAAGTATTTGCATTAGATTTCTGCTGCTGAAGAATAGATATAGGTGCTGCTGCATTTTTGTTTGTAACATCAACTGGAACTATTTGCTTGGATGTTGTTGCTGCACTATGAATCAAGTTTCCAGCTTCTGCATTTCGAATAGCAGCAGTTGGTGAAATTCTGGGGAAAAATGCAGGAGCATGAAGGTTCAACTTAGTCGTGGGACTGGATGAATTTGCTCCATGATGTTTTGGCTTTACTGGAGGATCAATCTCCTCACCTGCACTCTCCTGATCGACTGCCTGATCACCTTCTTCAGAAGAGTAGCTTTCAAAACCATCACCCCAATTTTCTTCATCATCCTCCTCCCTTTGGTCACGCCACAATTTGGAGTTAATAGCCACTTCCCTCATTTTTGCTTGAATAACCTCATAGTTGTTCCCATTTGACAGAACATGCTGCCCAAATTCACCCTCAAACTCCCCAAAAGACTCCACCGATTGTGAAGGGATGTCAAAAACGAAAGTGTTTAAAGTGACCAATGGTTGTTTCACCAAAGTATTATTCATCATCATTTCATTCTGGACGTTTTTGATGATTTGCTCAACATGAGGATTGGAAAATTGCAACCTAGGCGCATTGGAACTATGAGCTTGGCTGCCCATTAATTCCATTCCCAATTTGCTCTTAGAGTCACTTCGTCGAACGTCCACATTTTTCCCCCAATCATAACTGCCTTGCCCTCCTCTTTCATTGCTGGGCATTGGAATTAATTATTTGGACATCTCATTACCCTTCAAACCTGTTGTAACGACTTCCGAAATCCCAGCAACATCAAGAAGATTAAAGCTGTTTGCGCTGGCATCAATGTTACTGTCCTTTCGTCGAAATATTTGGTTCTGATGTTTTGGTGAACCCCTCTTATTTGTAGGAGATTTTGTAGATGTTACCACCTTCCAAACCCCCTCCTTTGTGTTTGTTTCTTTAACCTTAACATCCTCAATTGTCTCCCTTGTTCTATTTTCCACCAGCTTGCTCGTATTCACAGCTTTTTCAATCTCAGAAGTTTGGGCAACAACTTCTCCGTCAGAGCCTTGCCTTGTAATTTTCTGTTGTTCACCTTCAATTGCCTTTAGAGAAATATTGGCCTCAAAACCAGATTTGCCACCTGAAGAGACAGTTCTAACATTTACCCTATCATTGCTTACATTATTGTGACCACCAGCAGCCCTATTTATTCTATCAATTCCAGCTGTGCATTAAAACTAGCTCGATCAGTAGCAGTTTTTAAAGCACCAGCAATAGCTAGATACATCCTTGCAAACACAGTAGAAGCAGGGACATCTCTTGAAGGTTTGGGAGGTTCCTTGTCCAATTTTAGAGCCTCCTCTATAGGTATAACTGGAGCTATAGCAGTTGCTGTAATTGCAGCATTACTCTCAATTCCTTCACAAACTGTAGCTTGATCTGTATCATATTGCTTTGCTACAGTTGATGCCTTTTCAAATTGTGTATTGGCCTTTGTTTGATTAACTGCAACCTTCAAATCACCAGCCTTTGTCATAACATCCTTTTTAAAACCAGGTTTTTCAGCTGAATCAATTCGACCAACAACATCCTTCAAGCCATCTTTTTCTTGTAAATCCTTAGCTCCTTGTCCAGTTCTTTTTGCATTTAGATAGTCCCTTGCATCACCTTGTAATTTGTCAACATTAACCATCTCCTTAACAGGCAGATTTCTATCTACAGATTCCTCCTCTATCCCCACCTCTGTTCCATCTTTTTCCTTCATAATTCTACACATCTTTTCATCGTGCCCTTGATGCTTACAGTAAGTGCAATATTTAGGGAGGTTGTCATACACTATTTCTTGATAGTGCACGACATATTTTCCAGTAATTCGATCAACAATATGCAGCTTGACCTTTTTAGGATGCTTGCCCAACTCGAGCAGCACTAGGTCTCGTTCATTCTTGTGTCGCCTTGTCAACAACAATGGCTTTTTCAACAATTGATGCTATAGACATTAACGACCTCTTAGCAAAGAAATTAGGTGGCAAACCTGGTAGTGAAATCCACACGGCTGCCATAGATGTCTCCTCCCTTGGATTGAATCCCAACGTCCATGGAAAAGTTCTAAAGAAGAATTCGTCGCCTTTGGATTTAAGATATCCAGTCGATCTTGAAAGGAAGTTAACATAATCAGTATATAGATCAAACCTGACCAACAGGTGACGGAATTCTAATTGCCCAACATTACAGTAGCCTTGAACTTCATATTGCGACGAGAAAATTTTTCGAACTTCCTGTATATCAGGTTTTCCATAAGAAAATTTGACCACAACTGCTTGATGCAAACCTTCTTCCCTTATGAAGTCATTAACTTCATCCATGGTGAATTCTATCACTGGTTCTCCATGATAGAGTTTAACAGGAAACAACTCGATTTTTGACGAAATTTGAGCAGACTGTTTTTGTTTTAGTTGTTCCGCATAGGATTGTTTTGTATTTTGGTTTGGAATTGCCTCTCCCATAGCCACAGGCTGGGGAGAGACGACAACATCCATGGCTTCTCACAAAACTACCATATTATTGACGTGAAGAGCAGAATTCAAGACAAAATCTGGAAAAAAGCTGCTTGCTACAGTAACTCGCGAGATAGAATTTAAGATCTGGAAAAATTGGTTACGAATTTGAGGATGAAACCAATTGGAGATTGTACGCAAAGAGTAGATGCTTCTTTTGACACTAAGATTACGACAATCCACTGCCGGATGCCAAAGTTGTGGCCCAATGAATAGTGACAGAATTACTATTCACCTTCTTCCTAGAGAGAAGGAGGAGGAAAACACTGATGTGAATTATCTAAACGAAAAAAAACGAACTATATTTTGATGAGTTAGTTGTCTCTTATTTTGATATCTGTGTTCACTGTTGTGTCTCTCAAGAATATAAACGGAAGGACTTGCTACTGGCCCTTCTACATGATGTTATTGATGATACAGCTAAACTTGATAGAGAGGCTGAAAATGAATTAGCAGACAGGCTTCAGAAACTTTTAAAGCGCAATAGATACCTTGTCCTCATTGATGATGTCTGGAAAAGGAGTGCATGGGATGATTTACAGTCATGCTTCCCTGAAAATAACAAAGGAAGTAGAATTATTCTAACAACTCGGCATTATGAAGTTGCATCTTATGCTAAACACGTTAGTGATCCCCATAAGCTTCGATTTTTCAGTATTGATGAAAGTTGGACCTTATTACAGAATAAGGTGTTCAACAAAGAAAGATGTCCCCTAGTCTTAGAGGCTGTCGGCAAAAGCATAGCACAAAAGTGTGGAGGGCTTCCTCTTTCAATGGTTCTGGTAGTAGGTATCCTCACAAGAATGAAGAAGGAAAAACATTGCTGGGAACATGTATAAACAAACTTAGGTCCAAATATTCAGGCTCAATTGGAGGGCACGCTAGATCAGAGTTATCAGAATCTACCACATTATTTGAAACCGTGTTTTTTATACATGGGAGTATTTCCAGAGGACAGAGAAATTCAAGTCTCAAAATTAACATGGTTGTGGATAGCCGAGGGTTTGATTAACACGCACACGGAGAGGCTTTATAAGGACATAGCAAAATTTTCTTGGAAAATATTATTGGGAGAAACCTAGTGATGGTTGCTAAAAAGAGCTCTGATGGAAGGATCAAGACATGTCGCATTCATGACCTGGTGGTTGAATTTTGCAGGAAGAAAGCGAAGTTGGAGAACTTTTTAGAAAGGATAAGGTAATAAAAACATTAATTAATTTTACCTTTTCAATCTTTAAGGCTTCTTATAATTATACCTATTTATCCATAACAGGGACAGAGGTTCACGTCCTTCTCAATTTTTCCTTCCAAAGTGCAATACTTCACGCCGCTTATACCTTTATTCTCAAAGTGAAAATCTTCCAAAATGGTGTTTGTTTTTCTCCCATGTGAAATCTTTTCAGTTCAGAGAGGCTAGAAATATTGCATTCTCTTCGATAGACTGTGTTTCAAACACTTTTAAAAGGTTCAAGTTTCTAAGGGTGTTAGATTTTGAATTCACCATGATTGATTCTATCCCACAAGAATTAACCCTTTTGAAGTATCTTGCTTTTCGGATTGCAGAAGATGCATTACCACTCCCGGTCAATCTTTGTAACCTTGAAACATTGATAGTTCAAGGAATTGGAGGACGAGTATCGGTACCAGATACCATTTGGGAGAGTGTTAAGTTGCGACATCTACACATATACCATAAAGCATCTTTCACTTTAGGTGGTGCAAAAGAATTAGAAAGCCCCTCGAAAATGGATGATTAGCAATCATTTTCCTCAGCATGTTTTTCTTGTGTGGACAATGCTGATAAGATCCTAGAGAAGACACCAAATCTTCGGAAACTGAGATGTGAAGTTTCCAAATTTGATGGCTCGTTTCCTGCATTTAGCACTCTTACAAAGCTTGAAATGCTCAAGGTTTCTTCCGGTACTACATTGACTTGGATCAATCAGTTGAAGTTACCATCAAGCTTAAAGAAGTTGACACTGTCCAATTTTCGCATACATCTTACTGAAGTTGCAACCCATCCAAAACTTGAGGTACTCAATGTTAAATATGACAATATCCCACATCGGTTGGGAAGTAAACTTGGTGGGAATTTTTTCCTATAAAAGGAGGCCTAATGTTTAGGATTTAAACACACCTCTCATTTGCCTTCTCATATGTTTAAGGCATTTGTATCTTCTATCTTAGTATTATTTCACTTGTATTTTTGGAGTGAAATAAAATATTGGTTGTGTCCGAGGAGTAGGCAAAATTAGCC